CATAAGAATTACACATATTTTATATAATTGTAAAAAATTACTTTTTTTTAAATAGAGTCTTTATGCATTATAATTTTTTATATTAAAATCTGTATTATATAAAATATCAACATTTTGAAATTATTTTAATTAATAAAAATATATACATGATTAAATAAAGGAATGTAAAATATATAATAAAATACCCTAAAATTTTGTTATATGAAAATATAAAACAATTTTAACAAATCCAAAAATATAAGCAATTAAGTGTTCAAAAAAAATGGAAAATTTGAAGGGCGAAGCCCCCCCCCCCAAAAAAAAATAATAACCCCCCCCCCATGATAAAATCCTGGCTACGCCACTGTTTCTATATAAACTAAATATTGCATATATATATATAAATTAAATATCTACTTGCAGCTATTTATTTTAAGACAATAATATGAACAAAGTGCTTCCCTATTTAATTTCTAATGGGTGCATATTATGCATTAATATAGGGAAATGGTTTTATATTTTGATCATTCAGGGATAATTTAAATCTAATTTCTATTTCTTTATAGCGCTTATAGTACTTATGATTCCATCAGAAAATTAAATTAATATTAAAAAATGTATAAATTTATAATATTTAAAAATTATTTTGTATTAATACATATTTAGATTTCATACCAATTTTTTTTTTAAAACTCTTTTTTTCTTTAATAATACCACCACCCACAAATTTCTTTCTCCACTAGGCTTACTGGTCAGTTCCTGCTATTATGTGAAATAAGTAAGGGTTTTGGTTAGGGAGAGAGGTAAAAATAAGTTAGGAGAAGTGTTAATCATAAAAGGAAAAGGTCCGATCAAAAAAGAAAAACTATCCAATCATAAAAGGAAATTTTCCCATTCAAAAAACGAAAATCGTTAATTTTTTAAATATTATTTTTCTTAAATTTTTTTTTATTATTCATTCTTATTTTATTTCTAACTTTTTGCGATTTCTTAAGTCATTTTTAATCCTTAAATATCATTTCTCAATTTATTTTTCTTCTCATTATTGATAATTCATTTTTGTGAACATTATTTTGACTCTAACTTTTTCAATCTATTTAAGTCATTTTAATCTTTATTTTTCTGATATTTTTTCAATTTTTTTCTTCTCATTTTTGATCATTCTTTTTTGTAATTATTTTTAATTTTCACTTAATTTTTATTTCTCATTGGCAGACTTTTTTTTATTAAAATTTTTTTGCATATCAAATTATTTAATTACAATTGCTAAATTAAATTAATTGTTTGGTTATAATGTACCTTTATAAAAAACAAAATATTCAGAAATATTAATTCCTATCATTTCCACAACCTTAACAACCTTTGGGAATCGCGCTTTATCATTTTTCAAGGAACTTGGCTCTCACATCCGCTTAAACTTACGGACGAACCTCGTGAAGACTTTTTCTTGAAACAGAGACTCGCCATAACTCACAAGGCTAATTGCATTCATGGGTAGCCTCATCCCCCAAGATAATTATATTTTTAACACTAATATATATATTGTGTGTTTTTTTTTTTAAATATATTTTTTTTTAAATTATGCGATTATGTGTAATGTAGTCTTTTAAATTTATAAATATATTAATTTGTATTATATATTTTAATATCTTTTTTAAAAAAAATATTGCATTTACCTAGAATATTTTCAAAAAAATAAATATATTATAACTACGTGGCTGATATTTTTAGCCAAGCTATATCCCGCCATTTATGAAAATTACGCCGTCGGCGCAAAATTATTTTAAAAATAATTTCCATACATTTTTATTCTAATAATTGGTTAATATCACTTTTGTAAATTTTTTATGGCAATTAAGATTTTGAAAAATTCTTATTACATATCTATACAATTAAAAATCTAAAATTTCAAAAGTCGTCATAATTTTAGACCCAATGTTAGAAAAGGTGTTTAATTAGGTGAATATGAACACTACTTATGCTTGGGTCATGGTTTATTATCTGGTCCTTTGATGAAAATCCTATTAAAATAATAAAGGATATTATTACTGCTCTAAGATATAAAACTAAAGAATAAATTTGAGTTCAAGGCAAATCAAAGAAAATGCCTAAGGACAATTCATCTAACATATTATATGCTAGATATTGATAGCAGTGATCTATATCCTGATACCCGTTTCAAATTTGCGATTCCAATAATGACAATAACAATAATGCTAACATAAGAAAACGTTAAAATTAAATGTCCCGACCAGGTGTCAGTATATTAATTATGCTTGAAAGTACTTAGGAAAAATAATTATTTATTTAATAACTTTTTGAAAAGAATTAGGAAACACTATCTAAAACTATGAATCAGATCTAGTGGAAGAACTATTATTTCAAAATTTAAATAGACAGATGAATTTCTATATGCATAAAAAGGCCTCAAACTTGGCATCACTCTTTGGAAGTGAAATTGAAACAAATTTAATAATAAATGATGATATCTCGGATTTTCCTATAGGAAAATATTCTAAGCATTAAAATTTTGTGTTTGTGATCTGCAAGTAATATATTTAATTAATTTTTATTTTACAAATAAACTATGTGTTGGATTCTTTTCTAGACACAACAAGATATTGTGTCAAAGTATATAATAGAATAAAATTACTCAGCGTCGATATATATTTAAAACATCTCCAACTTATATAGTGTGATGATAGTATATATAACTATAATCAAGAAGAAATATTAAATTCAAATTTTAACAAAATTAGCAACTAAACATTCAACAACAAGTTCAAAATATGATTCCATTTTAATTGTAGAACAAGAATATCGTATTCTTCTCGTAAAAGCCATTCATAAGATTGGATGTTATAAATTTCAGGAGAGAAAAGAGGATCGAACTTCCTAATCTTTCCAAGCCAGCTGAAAAAAAAATTTAGTGTTTCGGCAACTACAATACTAAGTGAAAGAGTTTTCTCAACTTCTTTGTTGACGTTGAATTCAAGGAAATCATCATTATGATCGGAAAATTTAAATAAAATTATTTTTATACATGATAATTATAAAATTACAAAACGATTTTGAATTTATGAGTTTTCTCAATAAAGATCTAAAATATGCTGAGGTAGTGTAGTATATATTTTAATAATTTTTCTTAAAAATATGTATGTTATAAAAAATTTATAACGGTGCACCGATTTACCCCGCCTATATTGATAACAGCCAAAAATCGGGGCTTAAATTTTTGAAATCACGCCTGCCACCGATAGTTTCGTGGGCGCATAGGTCTAATTATAACTAAGACAAATTAGTATAAATTTTTATCATGTTTATTTATGGAATTTGAAATAAGTAACTCTAATCATTCATCGTTTTACTTTAAATATCATTATTTTCGCTCAGTTCTATTAAAATTGTTTTATATCTATCAAACGCGTAGCCAGGAATTTTCTAGGCTATAAATTGGTAAATTTATAATATAATTTTAAAAAAAAAATAAGCAATCAATAATTAATTTTAAAATATAGAATCGTTATTAATGTGGGCGAATAAGTTGGCAATCTTCGCTTAGTGAGCGAATATTTATCTAAAAGGTAACAATTTAATAAAAAACTTGCATTAGCCTTAGAATTTATAAAAATTAAAATTTTACATAACTGATTATTATATAAATTTATATTAAATTTTGACCTTAGATGACAAGCCTGGTCACAACTCTCAGAATAATCTTGTAATATTAATAATAAGTTTTTATTAGTTTAAAATTTTAATTATTAATTTTTCCATTGCTTTTTCATATAAATTATAAATAACTCAAAAGTTATCGGTTAAATTATCTACCATATAAAATAGGTATTCTTTACATGCTGGAATACATTTTCGGTAAAATCAAAATTTTAAATTAATAAAAAAACGCGCCCATTTAAAGTTGAAAAAAATAACACATTGACGCTAATATAATAAAACAATATTTAAAAAGAAAACTATTTTGAAAAATAAATATTTAGGTTAAATCGGCGGAGCATAATGACCCATATATAGATAGATATAGGATCGTCAAATTCCGATCGATATTCTTTATCGCAAGTAGAAACCCTCTTTTTTGGGTAATTAATTGCTCATTCTAATTATTTATTTATGCGAAATATTAGAGGTAATAATTTTTTTTATGGTCAATATATGGATAATTTTGATTGGTGGTGAAGCCATTTTTAAAAAATCTAAGTGAATAAGTCAAATAGTGATCACTTCTCCAGGTGACTTTTACTATTTTTCTACTAAATTTGTTGGGGTAGGAGGTGTGAGGTCTCTTTACATTTAATAATTATTAGAGTAGGTGGGTGGCCAATTTTTATATGATCTTCTCGGTTGCGCTACTATATAAATAAATATCACATATATAAAGTCTAATTGTATGTGTCTAAGTATAGATTAGAAGATGTTCATCCTGAGTTTGTTAAAATATCTATTTACTTAATAACTTTTGAAATTCGATTAAAATTGGCATCTTATAAATTTTGAAATTATTATGTTTAACATATGATAAAATAAATTAAATTTTTAAATTCAAAATAAATTTTATTATATTTTTATTATTAATTTGCGCACATAAAATATAATTTTATAATATAATAAATAATACACTTTTAAACACTTTTATCCAAATTTTTATGACTAAATAATTTTCTAATAAATAGTTTTTTTAAAAAAAAATTTATTTTTATTCAAAATTTTTATATTAAATATTTTTACAAAAAAAAAACTTAACTAAAACTTATTTCTGAACAAAATTTCAGGCACTTCTAACTTTTAATCTCTAACACATGTTATAAATTATTAATATATTATCAAATCAAATATAAAATTGCTATCTAAGCAAAATAGTTTTTAGATAGTATACTGCAATTTTTTTTAAACAAAATTTTTTTAAAGTTTGTATAATAATGTTTATATGATTTTGACAGTTATAATTTTAACCTACTATAACATGTTTTGATATTAAACATAAAATGTATAATATTCGTCAAATTACCCATTTCCGATTGTCAATTTTAAAAATACTATGTCAATAATATATATTTTCCTTTTTTAAAAAAAATAAATATCAAAGGTATATGATAAATAAAATATAATAATGATCTCGAAAATGTCAATCAGTTATCACAGGTATATATATATTTAAATTTTACCTGAATATTTTTTTTTTAAATATTTAAATTTAACATTTTAATAAATCTTAATTATATTAATAATAATTTAAAAAAAAATAATATAATAATTTTTTAAATATATTAATTTTTTAAATTCTGTATGGAAATTAAGGAAAAAGAATCAATGCTGACTTTTAATAATTTTGCAAACTCAGGTTTTCAACAATACAATAATTTTGATTATCATAATGAATTTGATTCCACCACCGGTAATCAAGATTTCTTAAATATAATTCAAACTAAAAACTGTGAAACAGCTATTAGCGATATTCCTCGACAAATTAAAGGTAGCATGGACAGGTCTTATGATGCAAAAGTAGTTAAGGAAGATAATGAGGCAGATGAAGGTAAGTTGGAAAATAAAATTGATAGCAAATCAAATACAACGTCCCTGAGTAACGCTGGGGTCAAACCTAAGCTAATATTATTTACCACCTACGACCCTGACAACCCCGCAAAAAAAGATTTTAATAAGAAAAAAAATCAACAAAAACCGAGATACTCATTACTGCCAACAATATTAGCCAACAATTCGGATATTCCCATGATTGAAATCCAATATCTAAAATCCTTGGATAATAATAAGCTTGTCCCGAAAGCATCGATTGATGAAATCATGACAAATAAATCGGACGAAGAAAGTAATAGAGACATCCATAACATTCTAAACCACAATTCGGACTTAGGCAACCCTTTGTCAAAAAAAGTGACGCCAATTACATTGAAATCAAATAAAGGGGGCCTAAAATTAGAAGGAGAAGACTTCCACGCTGATAATATAAGAGATGCCGTGTCTACATTATTAGATGGTTACGATTGGTCACTAATGGCCATTCAAACGCCAACTACTAGTGGCACAACTAAAAGTACGAATACGAATAATTCCGCTTCATCCAATAACCACAATAGCAAGAGAAAATTGCACATCAAAAGGCCCATGAATGCTTTTATGGTGTGGGCTCAGGCTGCCCGGAAGAAGTTAGCTGATCAATACCCCCATTTACACAACGCCGAGTTGAGTAAAACATTGGGAAAACTATGGAAGTCAGTTTCATATAAACTCATAACATTTAGTATAGAACTTTAGGTAGTTTTTTGTAAATATATAAAAGTTTTTTCCGGAAGGGGGTGATTAATTTTTGTAGTAATCAATTTTTCTACTCCTCATTCAAAAATTTGTTTAAATAATTTGAATTGGATTTGGGAGGCCGAGGATGTTATGAGATTGAGGTTTGTATGTAATAAACCTATTCTTTATTCCTGAAATGAAAAAAAGGGGTGGGAGGGGGGTTGAAATTTATAATCTAATATATCTTAGAATCAAGTAAATATGCTGAATTAAAATATGTATATATCCTTAAATATCTTACATAATTTTAATAAGGAAAAATGTAATTTTTTTACCCTAAACATTTCTTTAATTTTTTTTTCCTATATTTATCTTTAATTAAAGTATATTATAAATATACTTTTGGAAATCATCTCATTCTCCTAAGTACAACCCTAAATTTAATTAGCAACGATTGTGGAGGATTAGAGATTTGTGGGTCTAAAGGTGTTGAGACTAAAAACCATTTGAAGCCTGTCAAATTTTCAATTTTAAAAAAAAATTAACTAGTACAGAAGTTTAAATAAAAATGACTAAAAGTAGTGCCTAAAATCTGAGGTAAGGCTAAAATTAAAACAAGCTTCTCTCGATATAATAATTCCAAAAAACAAGTAGAAAATTTTCTTAAAATTTAACACAATGGCCATATGAGTCAGATGTTAAAAATTATACATAATTTATTAATAAGATGATGGCTTACTACTGACGAAACAAGTGTAATTAGCCTTGATAATGGCTAGGGTTTATGACTCAATAAATGGTTTTAAACTGAATCATCTACTTCTTTTACAATGGTTAACCTAATTTTTTGAAGAAAGATTACCAAAAGTTGTAAGAGCGTTAAATAAAAATAGGTATGAAAATCTGGGTGATTTAGATCTCAGAATATTTAACAATTTTTTTTTATTGTTCCTTTCTTCTCAAAAATTTTGGGAGGTTAAAGGGAGTAAATGAGTTTGAAAAATCCCCCCTCTTCTAAAGAATCAGTGAAGTCCTATTGATAGGCTCTTTCTCATCCTATAAAGCCGAATAATTATTTTTTTTAAGTTATGGACCTTTATAAAGCCAGGTAACTCACTCACAATCAATCAAACTTCTATTCTATATTTGTTTAAACTAGGTATTTTTTTTAATTATTGGTCGGCTAATATGTAACAATAACAAATCAATTTTTTCATGGATCTGAAATTTTATTTTAGAAATAGGTTTGAATACTATCCGAAATTTTTTTTATATTGGATAGTTTAAAAATATTTTATTTTAACGCCAGCGGGAATGTCTGAGGCGCTGAAGATATTAAAAAGGTAAATTTGTAATTAAAATTTTTGCGAGCTTCGGGTCTTTCTAGATATATTTTAAAATCAATATCCAAATCAGAGATAATATTCCTTCGAATCTGACCGGTGAAAGTTCGATCGGATCGGATACCAAACGCCCTGAGCAGATCTCTATTCAATTCCCATTTAAATAAACCTTAACTGTTTTTTTTGCTAATTAAATGTTAAGTTTTATAACACATACGTAACCGTAAATAAAGAAGGTGACACCACGTTAAAATTTGTCTTATTATAAGAAAATAATGGTGGAGAATCTTAAAACATATCCACATAATTGAATAGGTGTGATAGATGCATAATAGTAGATGGAAATGTTTTATTTGAAATATCAGGTCATCATTACTAAAAAAATATGTAAATAAATTTAACTTAATATCCATCTTTTGCGATTTTATATATATGTACATATATATTTGTATTTTACCTCTTTGACCAAGATAATTGCCAATGCAAATAATTTAGACGCGTGACAATATTTATATTTTTTACCTTTACATTTACATATTAAGTGTTTCATATTTATATAAATATTTAAAATGTCTAGTAGAAAATAATTATCTAACGTTATATTATATTTTGATATATTTTTATAATTTTTTTTATTTTTTTAAATTTAATAAAATATTTCCATTTCTTCTTTCTTCCACTATTTTTCTCTATTTTTGGTTAACGTATTTATATTTTTTTTACTCTTATATAATTTAAATTTTGATTAATAGAATATCGACATTTGCTTTGCGACATTTCAAAGTGTTTTCATGTCCAAGTTGATAATTTATTGCTTTATCAACAGGTTCTAGATCCAGGTGGAATGTCCTTCCCTCAAAATTTAAATTTGTTTGCTTGAATTTTATTTAAGTTTAAAGTTTTATATATTATATAAGAGTTTAAAGAATTTAAAGAGTTATTAAAAATATTTTAAATCTCTAAAATTTAAAGGGAAATTGTAATAGAGCGAAAAGCTTTGAATTGTTCTGAAAATTTTTACTAAGCTTACAAGAGCTCGATAAAGAAAAAATTAGCGGCACTGTAATAATTTAATCATTTAGAATGCTAAGTGAATTTAAGATGGATTTGAAATGGCATAATTATTCGGATTTTTTTTTGATACAATATAGATTTACCCATCTCCGTTATTTTATATTGCTATAAATATGGAATTCTCAGCGTGGTAGCTTTATAGTCATTATTAATTACAAATTGGATAATTCATTTGAATAATATCTTGGCTATGTCTATATTATGGGGCAATCAAATTTATAAGAATGAAGGTAATTGACAAAGATAGGGTATACCATAGAGGGAACCAGTAGAGATTTAATCTCCTAACACCCACCTTACATTGTTTTACCCTCCTACCCCTGAAAAATGTATATACCTCCTCATTCCGTTTATGTAGAATGTTGACAGTGATTGACATCCTTTTTATATAATAGAGCAATGAATTTCTAGATAATAAATATTTATTTTTTTAAATCATGTTTTTCAAAAAGTCATAATGATATAGATTAAAGGGGATAGAAGCCATTTCTAGGAAAATAATTATTGTTTTTTTTCTTTTCAAGAATAGGGAAAATGTGGTGAGCTTGTCTGACCTAAATTAATATTATGCACACTTGAATGAGAGCTAACGAGGCGATTTTAATAAAATTTTAATGAATTACGATTCAAATAAAGTAACCTTCATGTTTATCTAATTGTACAAAGATGATTGGAGAGTATTTGTTAGTCTTATTTTTGAAGAATAAATAATTCTCAACAAGATCGTTATATAAAATAAAATTCTATTTTTATTTTTAAAAAACTGATCAAATGAAATTAAACCAGTCAAACATTTTTAAAATCTATACCTATTAATTATATTAATTTATCTTATATAAATTATAATAAGTCTTTGACGTCGTGTTGTTAAACGGCTCGATTTATGTCGGTTTTAAAAAATCATGTAAACAAGGAGATTTTGCTTGGCAGAAAGGTGTCAGTCTCTATTTGCCAAATCTCTAGGTTTACATAATCTTTCTTTCCTTCTTTCTTTACGAAAATCTTAATCGGGCCATTTTTAAGCGACTAAAATCCGGCCGTTTAGCAGCCTATCTCGAAAGTTTGCTCAGCTATAATTTTATCCACCTATCTTTCGCTTTATCTCCTATACTTCCCGCCTCTTACCTAGGAAAAAAATTTCTCCCATTATAATTTTTTTTCTTATATTTATGGTTCATTAATAAAAATTCAGTTAAAAAATTATTTGTTATCATGTATTATCAATAATCATGATTAAGATTGAGATATTTGATTTTCTTTAATATATCAAGATGAAGATTTCCGAATCGAGGCGATTCAATTTTGCTAAAAAAATTGACACCCACATATAGTCCCAAGCATGTGGCTGCTTGCTTAGCTACGAAATTACTAGTGAGAAGGATTATGACTTTTAAATTATATTTCTTATTAAAGGGGAATAGTTAAAACATAGTATTTTTACAAAATTTTCTATTCTTTGATCAGTAAATTTTTTTTATTTTAACAGTATAAAATAAATTTAATCAGTATCGTTTGATTATAGTGTAAATGCTGGTAAAATGTAAATTCTTCTGGAAAAATTTCCAAATTAAGTTTTATTCTCTTATATGCTATAGATACAAATTTAAAATCAAATTGCTGGTTATATAGATTAATTTTTAAAAAAATCATTTAATCGAATAAAAGATGGTTAAAATCTTTTAATGTAATTATATTAAAAAATAATTAGAAAAGAAAATATTAGATAACATTTATTATTTAGCGAATTTAGGGTCAATTATTTTTAAAAATAAGAACATTTATAATGATTATAATTTATGTTTTCTTATCAAAAGTCTCAGATATTAGAGTAGGGGAGACCGGGGAACATGAGAGCTCTAAAAGGTAAAAAATCAATAAAATTAAAACTATTTGATAATATTGGACAAATAAATTTTATCCCACTTATTTACTTGCTACACATAAAAATATTTTTTAACAGTATATTAATTTTTTGAAAGGATGAGCTACACCCGGGAAAGGATGTGCTTTTCTATGAGGTGCTTTTGGACTGCAAGATATTGATATTTTTAAATATAAAAATGATATATATTATTGCAACCAATAAAAAATAAATTATAATGGAAAATAATTATAAAAAATTAGTTGAATGTATTAAAAATTTAAACAAATAAAGAATGGATTAAAAATACAACAGGATCCATCAAATATAATATAGTTTCTTCCTCTTTCTTGAAAATTGTTTTGATGTGGACAATTTAAAACCTCGTTGTTTCATTAATCTTGATTAATATCTTTTTACTGTTGCAAAGCCTAAGTTAGTTCTCTCTATAACGGCTAGCAAGGAAGGATTTCCATTAAATATATTAATGATTTCATCATTTTTTAGTTGTCTCTTTTTACAAATAATTTCTTAACATATTCAAATTTCAATAAGCAAAAATAATTTTTAAAAAAAACATCCAAAAAGCTCTAAACCTCTGAAAATTAGCCTCAGGCTCTCAATATCTTTAAAATTAGATTTTAAGGTATATTAAACATATTTTTTGTTCCAAGAAAATATTTTATATAGAATAGGA